AGGAGGAGGATGGATCAGGAGCTGAGGACCAGGCTGAAGCCTGTGAATTAGAGGCCAGTTGTGGAAATGATCTTAGTTAGTAGTTACTGAGCACCTCCTATTTGTCAGGGAACAGAACAGACCCCAAGTTGTTTTCTGGGGAGTAAATATGGGGTGGTGGGAGACAAGTAGCAGATCAGTGACATACAAAATGCTTATGGGAAACAGTGGAGGGACTGGGGATTGGAGTTCTGGTGAGGATAGGAGAAGTCTCTGGGGAGATCGCATTTGAGTCAGAATTGTGGGTGGCTTGTAGTGTCTGCCAGCAGCCCTCAGAGGTAGGTGGACTTAGCCCATCATACTGACCCGGAAACCCAGACCACAGCGGCAGGAAAGCCAACCGAGGTCACACAGCACGTGGGGTGGCCAGGGTGCCCAGCAGCCCTCTAGGCAGTGAGGAAAGAGGAGGTGGGGAGTACTTTGAGTCTCCAGGGGGAACTGGTGACCCGTGGAACTTGAGTGGAGACAGGAAGTGGAAGCAGAGTGATCAGAGACCAGAAAGTCACCCCAGATAAATGTGTTACAGGAGTAGCTGCTGGGGAATTGGTTTCCTTCCACCACCCAGACTGGGAAGGGTCCAGAGTGCTCTTGCCATTGTGTCTAGGAAATCTTTGGGATACCTTAGGGCTCAGTAGGACAGGCCCATCCTCCCTGAGTACCTCAGAGAATTGGGGGGTGGGAGCTCTCCAGGTTGAGAGTGGCAGTCACTGACCTTTCAACTTGAAGGCCAGGAGCTTCTAGAAATCAATCTGACAAGGTCCTGTGTACTTTTCCAGCTTGTTCCCCCAGCCTCCTCCCTGAGGGTCTCTGCCTTCTCTGTCCCCCAATTTGTCCTGTCTGGTCACTGCCAACTGTCAAGACCTGAAAGTCACCTTCCCTGCCTTGTGCCTGGAGTTCTCGGGGCTCATTTGGATGGCATACTGGCCCTTGTGTTCTACTGAGGCTTCTCATTGTCCGTTGTCTGTGGTGTCACCGCTGTGTTCACAGTGCCTGGTCCCTCCCCCATAGGCCCAGAGCAGTCACAGGATAGCACACTCAGCACCAGTGGCCGATGGCAGGGCTCTGGCTGCAGAGACACTGTAGCTTGTGTGTGACGTTCAGGCCCAGAGACTGAATGACCTGGTGGTTGGGGGCTGAGAACCCATAGATTTCAGGCCATACTCCCACCACTCTGGGATGGCAGGCACCCAACACCTTGGCCTCAGTACATGCTTAAATGGAGCTCACAGATCTATCTTTTTGGATCTTGTCACGGTTGTATGGCCCAAATCCACAGAAAATTCTCAGCTCCTTGTTGGCATACACCATACTTGACAACTGTTAGCTTCTCTTAAAAAGGTAACTTTTTTTTTGCAGTAATCCATGCAGATGATGCAGAATTCAAAGGTATTCCAGCATGTACAATGACTCTCCCTCCCAAAAGGCCCCAGCCTCCCTGGACTCTTACTTTGTTGCTTTTTAAATTTTCTCTAGTCACAAAACAGACACTTCCCCTCACTTAGCACACTCAGAAGGAAGTTGCATGTGAGCTGATTAATCGCTCCTTTTTTGCTTTCTGGGGCTGCAGAATGGCACAGATGGGTCGTAATTTATTTAGTCTCCTTAGTGCACTTTAAAGTTCTTTAGATGAGAGCTCTTCTTCCTAATGGAAACTAACAAGATTGTGATGGTTCTGCAGACCAGCTTCACGGAGTGGTACCTTGGGCCTCTGTATCACTGTCTTAACCAGTGCACCTTCCTGGACTTCTTGTACCTGTGACCTTACTGAGATTTAACTTAGATACAGTCAATTGCCCCGATCACAGAATTTTAAAAATAACTGCAAGTTCCCAAAATACTGATAGATCAAGATAGAGGATGTTACCATGATAACCAGAAAGTTCCTTGTACTGTCTTCATTCACTTCATCCAGAGTGAACCAAACTGATTTTGGAACTAGTTTTGCCTGTCTTTTTTTTTTCCTTTAAAAAAGTTACTTATGGCCCTCCCTGGTAGCGCAGAGGGTTAAAGCACTGCGCTGAGAAGCTAAAGCCACTTCCGCATGAGTTCGATTCCCTCCTGCCCCGGAGGTGACCACATGGCGTGGCAGACCTCTCCTGACCCGCCCGCTGCTCCTCTCAGCAGTGTACCTATTAAATCTGCCTGTTCTGCTCCCCACTCTGTCTCTGGTGAAGCCTCTCACCACCCCTGAGCCTCTGGCCTGTACTCCAGTTCTGTATGTACAAATAAATAAATCTTAAAAAAAAAAAGTTACTTATTTATGCATACAGAACTGGAGTACAGGCCAGAGGTACAGGGGTGGTGAGAAGATTCACCAGAGACAGAGTGGGGAGCAGAACAGGCAAATGGACGAAGTATACTGCTGGGGGTGCAGTTCCATGTGGGCCACCTCCCTGGCAGGGAATCGAACTCACACTGAAGCAGCTGTGGCTCGCTTTATAGTACTGTGCTTTAACCCTTTGTGCCCCCAGGGAGGGCCCAGTTTGCCTAAATTCAAGTCTACCCTCTGACTCAGAGAAACCCGGGCTCATGTCTACAAAAGGCAAGGGTGAGAGAATTCATGGCAGCTTTATTTGTGATGGGCCATCACTGGGAAGACCCAAAGTGCCCCATCCACTAGTCAGTGGTTGAACAAACTAGCCATCTGTGCAGCAGTAAAAAGTCACCGACTTAAGTCACACTCTGACAGGATGCTGGGGATCCCATTCATGTAGCTCTTGTATTGTTCAGGTATTGATATGCCATCTGAGAGGTGGGATGGTAGATATTGGTGAAGAGACCCATGCTGTCACCAATGCTGTTACGATTTCTCCCTGAGAGGATGTGGGTGACCCTGATTTTGAGATGCCAGGACTCTGATGTCCTCACCTGTCCCAGCTCTCAGATTCCTGTCTGTGATCCAGGTGGCTTGGGGCTCCAGGAGAGTCAGAGTCAAGGCCACACTTGGTGCTGGAGTGAAGGGAGTTCACACTCACTAGCCACCACATCCTGGGGAAAGCCCACAGTAAAGGGGCACTGCCTTCTCAGATACACCAGGATGCCCCCTTTGGGGCACGAGTGAAGAACTAACTTTGGTTCTGATGACCCACTGGTGGCTATTGCCATTTCCCAGCTTTGCCCACTCTGCCCTCCTGCTTAACACTTGCTTCTTAGACCTACTGCTCAAAGAGACCTTCCCTGACATCCCAGCCCCCAAGCCCTCATACCCTCTTACCTTGTAGTGTGTCTTCCTAGTCTCCACCCTCCAGCCCATGTGGTTCCAACAGATGTCAGCGCTGGTCTCCCAGGGCCTCGAACAAGCTTGGTAGATGACAGTAAGACTTGAGTAAATGCCCAGGTCGTGTGTCTGCTGCCTGCCAAATGTGTTTATCCCTTGTTTCAGCCCCTTCCACCTGCCATGGTTTGCCTTCCTGCTTCCCCAGTGGCAGCTATGCCTGGTGTCCACTGCCCTCTCTGTCCCTGCCACCCCCAAGTCCAGCCGCCGCCAGCCCTCCCTGAACCAGTGCCTTTGCCTCCTGCCTGCTTTGGGCTTCCACCTTCTTGCAGCAGCCTTCACCACACACCTTCAGGATCACGGGCTGCCGTGCTCTGAGAATGCCAACCAGCTCCTCACCATTTTCATTTGCGCCTGCACCCAGCTAGGGGATGCCAGTATCAAGGGTGTGTTTCCTCCCTGATTCTGCCCATTGGGTACTGAATGAGAGCTGTGACCTGTTCTGAGAAGGGGCTGTATCAAAGGTTCCCAGCACCATTTGACCCTCAAGACATTGTGGTTGACATGTTCCTGAGGAGTGGGGTGGCAACCTGGCATGCTGTTTGTCTTGCCCTATACACCTGCCAGTTGTGCTGTGTCCTGCACACATTTCAGATAGCCCAGACGTCCACCTAGGTGCAAATCTTGTTTGAAATTCTCTGTACCTGGGCCCTCCCTGGTGGCGCAGTTGGTTAAAGTACAGCACTATGAAGCTCTCTGCAACCACTGCAGCAAGAGTTCAATCCCTGGCCAGGGAGGTACCCACAGTGGTGTGGCAGACCTCTCCTGACATGCCCACTGCTCCCCTCAGCAGTATATTTCAGTCCATCTGTCTGTTCTGCTCCCCACTTTGTCTCTTGTGAAATCTCACCTCCAGGACCTCTGGCCTGTACCCCAGTTTTGTATGCACAAGTAAATAAATCTTTATGAAAAAAAGTAATAAAAGAAATTCTCTATACCTACAATCTTTCTACATTTCTCATCCTTTGCACATCCAATTCTACTTCAGTGCCTGCCTGGACCCCTGCTCTGTCGCTTTCTGTTCTTAATGCTGCAGGCAGTGCTCTGTTTACCTCCTTGGCCAGGTCTAGGGGTGTTGGTGCAAATCATTGCCTGTTTCACCTGAGCATTTTCATGGGAAAACATATAGAATATGTATCTTTTTATTAAATGGTTTATTCAGAGTGATTTATTTACTAGGAAATGTACCCACTTCAAATGTGGGAATTTTTAGTAATTATGGTAAATATTAGTAAGCATCAGCTCAGCCAATTCTTGAACATTTTTTTCCACCTCTCCCTTAGGCAGCTGTTGATCTGTTTCCCTCCTCTGATGATTTGTCATTTGAGGACATGAAAGGCATCAACTACATTCCTTCTATTTAGTCTTTTAGCATACCTATGGTCTTATATTAATTTAAAATCTGTGTTTAGGAAATGGACTGATTGCTTTTGGGCACAGGGGAGCTTGCCAACTATTTGCTTAGGAAGGGGGAGTGCTCAAATGGAGCAGAGGCATCCATGGGCAGTGGTTCTGTCTCCAGCTCAGTCAGCCCGTACTCTGCCTCGAGGACCCTCCTGCGCCAGAGCATTCTGGCTGGCGTTGGTGTCTCTGCTGAGGTCACCACATTGCAAGAGGGCATTGCTTCACTGTGTGGTCACACTTCCTGATTGTATGAGTAATTTCTATCCCTTTTCCCCTCCCACAGGGACTTCCTTCCCCGAGGTTCAGGAATCGTTACCCGGAGGCCTCTCATTCTGCAACTCATCTTCTCAAAAACAGGTATGCTGGGGCAGCAAGAAACGAACGTGATTGGTGGCCAGCAGGGCAGGGGGTCAGGGGCGGGCAGTCAGGGCTCCTAGGTTGTCAGCGGGGTTTGAATTCACATTTCCCTGTGTGTGGGGAAGTTGAAGAATGGTTCAGTGAACACTCACATGCCACCCTGAGTGTCCTCAACTGTGACCAGGCCCGCAGGCGCCATATTTGTCTCATGTGCTGTAGATGACAAGGTTGCCGAATGCTTTGAAAAGCAGAGCAGACGGGCCATGCGAACCTGCAGTGCTGAGGACACCCTCCTGCAGTCACAGAGCCCCACCGAACGACAGTCATCATGTGGCACCCAGTCTATACTCAGGTTGCCAGTTGTCCCCTAAATGTCTTCCCCGGCTGGCTTTGTAGCCGCCTGCTCAGTCCCACTTGACATTCTCTTGTCAATGTCTTTTTTTTTTTTTTTTATTAGAGCAGCATCCACATCCTTTCTTTTTTAATCTTGACATTGAGTTTTGGGAGAGACCCATCCCACTGCAAATAGCATGTAGAGCGGCCCCCATATAGATCTTCTGTCCTTCCCTCAGTGGCCTTGGGGTCCTTCTGTTCTTCCCACATGAGTTGAGATGACATGGGCATGTCTCCCAGCTTGAAATCCATTGAAGCTCATAGGGGAAGGAGATGCCATTGCTGGCAGGAGTGCAGAGGGGTCTCTGCACTGACCTGGACTGTCAGCTCTACCTGGGCAGCTGGCACACACTCCCATTTTACAGACGAGGAGAGCAAGGCTTAGCTAGGTTAACCCTCTGCCAGATCTGGCCTCTGAGGTCGGGTCTCAGGCAGAACTTTCAGCCCTCGTCTCACCTTCTGGTCTTATCTTCTGGCTCTGCCCTACCCCAGGGGCTGGGGGAGAGGGGCAGTTGACTCCAGTGAGTGAGCACAGCAGACTGGCCCAGTACTCTTTTTGTGAGCTCTGCCATGTCAAAGGCTACAGGCCAACCAATGGGCTGGGTTCAGGTGCTGATTGACTCTACCAGAGCTGGCAGTCTAATGTTACTGTGGCAGAACTTGGCCCTGTGGGTTTCTCCTTCCACTTGAGCAGGTTAGTGTGGCAGAAGTGAGAACCTGCATTCTTTATGAGCTTCCAAGTGATGCCAGTGCTTCTGGCACCTGGCCTCTCCACGAATGTTCTGCTCTGGTGGGTGGGGTTGGGAATCACACGGCCTAGGTTCAGATTCATAGCTTTACTGGCTCTTTGGCCCCTGGGGAGGTACTGCTGTTTAGGCCCTGTTTCCTGTCTGGACAGTGGAGATAATTATAGTACATCCTTTGTCGGTTGTCTTGCTGTGAAAACCACGTTATTCAGTACACGGACAGCCCTCACACCAGTGCCTGGCACAACCGAGGCCCTTGCTGTGTGGTACTGTAGCAACAGATGTGGTTTTGTGCTTATTACTGCCCTGTTTGGGAACAGCTTGCTGCGAGGACAGGACATCTGACTTCCCAAACTGGCCGGTCATGGCTATGTCATGGTGTGAGGGCACCCCCATACTCCACAGGGGCTGACACCAGTGGTGGTATGTGGAGCACTTATGCAGGGATGCGTGTGGCAGCAAATGGGACCAGGGCTGCTCCTGTCCACGCTCATTAGTGCCAGGGAGGAGGGGCAGTGTCAGGAGACTAGGAGGGAGACAACACAGTACTACTTGAGGACAGATGTTCATCAGATGGGGGCGTGGGACCAACATAGGGCTTCTCTGAGGAGGGGGTGTTTGAGCTGAGTCTAATGTGTCAGGGGAGGAGACTCTCCTTTGAGCAGAGTGGTGACATGAAGACTGTGAGGAGGAGCTGCCCAGAGGGCCCTTTGGAAGAAATGAAATTCCTCTGGAGGTGAGGAAGAGGGAAGAAACACATGGCAGGGGTGACTTGGAGGGAGGGCCAAGGGCAGAAACTCTGAAGGTGCACATCTGTCTAGGGCCTGGCTCAGGTACTGAAATCTCCATTCCTGTTGTCCCCATAACCAAGGAGGGAACTGAGCTTTTGGCGCAGAAGCTACTTGCTACAGAACAGGTCGGAGGATTGTCTTCAAAACCCAGCCTGGCTCCCTCTTGGGGAGTGTGACCTTAGGCTGGTGAGTAAGGGACCTTAGGGTCCAGCGCACGGGCAGGAGGACTGGGCAGAGGCAGGAGCAGATGCCCAGGGGAAGGTGGGGTCAGTGTGGCAGCCATGGAGATGGAGACAGATCCTGTGGGAGTTGAGAGCGGTCCCTCAGGGGCATGATGTCTGCTCTGTCTCAGCTTGCACTCTTCCTTCTGCTCCCAACCCGGCATTCCCAACCCCCGTCACCCCCAAGTAGATGTCCATCTCAGAGGCAGTCCGAGCACTCTGGAGGATTGTGGCCCCTGAGTCCCAGTTGTAGAGCTGGCAGGCACAGGGTCACTACAGTGGGGCTGAGGCTGCTTGGTGAGAGTATATCAGGCATTGGGTATATATAGTTTTTTTGGATGCCAAAGTGAACATTGTATGCAGGGGCAGCACCTGTGCAGATCTGTGAGGTGAGGGAGTGCAGGGGCAGGTGCCCAGCTGGCATGGTAAGTGATTCAAGCAGTAGGAGCGCCTGGGGTGGGGAGCGGCCGGCCCAGTCTGCTGGCTGCCTTGTGCTGGGGGCTTAGCCCGGGACAGTGCCTTAGGATGACTTGGAGGTGGGGAGACAGTGCTGACCCCATCTGGGCCTCGGGGCGCCATGACCCTCCAGAGTGTCAGGCTGAGGAAGGTAGGAGGCAGTGGGCAGCCCGCTGCCAGGGGAGAAGAGGCTGCAGTTTGGGATTCGGTGTGTTGCAGGCTCCAGGGGCTGCATTACTCCTGACTTGGGACAGGACTCCTCAGCCAGGCTGCCTCTCCTTCAGGTCCAGTTCCTCATGCAAGTGACTTCCTTCCCCGTACCTTGGGTCCCTCATATGTAAAGTGGGGGTGAAGTGGTGGCACCCATGTGGCCTTGGTGCATGGCCACCTCCTGTGGGGTCTGAAGTCTCGATGTGGTCCAACCCTGAGCCTGGGTTTTCTGACTCCTGTGATAACCAGTGGCACCTTGCTTCTCCTAGTCTGGACTAGTCTCATGTGCCACTTTTAGTTGGCTTAGTTCAAAAATTACCTATGGCCATCAGGCAGTTTGGAGGTTCATGGTTACTCTGCTTCTCCTTAGGAGCCACCCCCACACTCACATGTCTGGGGTGCGTGGCTGGGCCTCCTTGGTCTTCCTCTCCTGGCCTGACCTTGATGGTGGTGTTCACAGAACCTAGAGAGGGACTGATTACGCTCTCAAAAGTTGGTGGTTCCAGCCGGCCTTGTCAGTCCTGGGTCCTCACCTCCTGCTGGTCCCCCGCTGCTGTCTCTGTCCTCCCGGTGTGTAGCTGAGCCTTTGCCCTAGCTGTTGCTCCTGGCCTGGAACAGCCACCCCATTGCTGTCCCTGCTGCCTATGTGACATGCCATCATTCTGTCACATCCTGTCATTCTCTTAATGGTCTCCCTGACCCCCAAAAGTCAGTGCCATAAGAACAGACACACTAGCCTGCTTTGTCTGTCACAGTCCCCAGTGTCCAGCCCACAGCCTGATGCCTGGGCATGCTCCAAGGGTGGCCCGTGCGCCTTTCCTCCTGGTGGAAGGTGGTCAAGGTGGTCAATGACTGTTGGTGCAGCACTTTTCCTGGGTGTCCATCTGGGCAGGGCCCTTTCTGTTAAGCTAATAGGTGTGACAACAATCTGGGCTGGGCCTTGTTTCTTCCTAAGGAAACCAAACTGGGGACTCACCAGGATGCCAGTCTATGGCTGCCATTTCCAACATGTGTGTATTTTTCCCCCATGCCGACAAGTCAGCACAGACAAGTCAGCACATACAAGTCAGACTGACTTAGTGTCCTACAGTCGACTTAGTTCTGGTACTCTCTACCTAGAGATAGCACCAGGGCCAGCAGGTGAAGGGATCAGTTCTACAGTACTCCCGTGTCCCCCACTTCACGCACAGGTCGCAAGCCCTGGTTGTCACCTGTGCCGCTGACCAGCAGCAGAACAGCATTTTCACAGCCCTCTCCCTCCCCCCCATTGGATTAATTTGCTCGAGAGGCTCATATAACTAAGAAAATACTTTGCTTACTGGGTTACCAGTTTATTGCAGAGGGTGAGGGCCCTTCTTGGTGGTGCAGTGGGTTAGAGCACAGCACTATGAACCTATCTGCAGCCACTGCAGCATGAGCTCGATCCCCAGCCAGGGAGCTGACCCACATGGCGCAGTGGACCTCTCCTGTCCCGCCCGCTACTCCCTTCCCCTCAGCAGTGTACTCAGTAGATCTGCCTGTTCTGTTCCCTACTCTGTCTCTGGTGAATCCTCTCACCCCCCTGCGCCTCTGGCCTGTACCCCAGTACTTGTATGCATAAATAATTAAATTTTAAAAAAACATTTATCTAAGGAACATACAGATGGAAACACAATGCATGGGGTGAGGTGTGGGAAGAAGGCGAGGTGCTTCCATTCTCTCCAGGGCTCCCTATTGCTCTACCTCTTTAGGGGGGTAGTTTTCTGCACCTGGTCCTTTGGGGCTTTTCTGGAGCCTTCATTAAATTATTGATTAAGTCATTGCCAACAAAGGTCCGGGGGTAGGGCTGGTCCCCTGGGTAGCATCCCATCCTTAGGTGTATCCTAAAGTCACCTTCTTTTCTTTTCTTTTTTTTTTTTTTTCAAAGATTTATTTATTTATGCATACAGACTGGGGTACAGGCCAGAGGTGCAGGGACGGCGAGAGACTTCACCAGAGACAGAGTGGGGAGCAGAACAGGCAGATTGATGAAGTACACTGCTGAGGGGAGCAGCGGGCGGGCCAGGAGAGGTCTGCCACGCTATGTGGTCTCCTCCGGGGCAGGCGGGAATTGAACTCATGCGGAAGTGGCTTTAGCTTCTCAGTGCTGTGCTTTAACCCGCTGCGCCACCAGGGAGTGCCTCTTTTCTTTTTTTTTAAGATTTATTTATTTATGCATACAGAACAGGGTACAGGTCAGAGGTGCAGGGGCGGTGAGAGGATTCATCAGAGACAGAATGGGGAGCAGAACAGGCAGATTGAATGAAACATACTGCTGAGGGGAGCAGCGGGCGGAACAGGAGGTCTGCCATGCCATGTGGGTCACCTCCCTGGCTGGGGATTGAACTTGTGCACAAGTGACTGCTGATAGCTTCCCAGTGCTTCACTTGAACCTGTTGAGCGACTAGGGAGGACCCTAAAGTCACCTTACTAATATAAGTGCAGGTGTGGGTAAAAGGGGCTTGTTCTGAATATCAGTGTTCCTTTATGCTCTTTTGAAATAGTTCATTTCAAGGGCTTTAGGGGTTCTGTGCCAGAAATAGGACAAAGACCATAGATACATTTCTTCTTATGAATCAGTGTCATGCAATCCCTCCCCCAAGTGTCCACAGATTTTGGGAGATGTTCACAACTTGTCTCAAATCAAGGGAGCCTGAAGGCCAAACGAAGGCATCAGGTGCCCCATGTCTCGCTCTCCTCTTGGTTGGCTACAGGCTCTGAGAAGTCCCATGTAATACTCAGGCTCTCCCAAGTGTGTGTGAGCCCCAGCCTTCCTCCTGGGCTGCATCCCAGGGCAGCATGCCTGTCAGGACCATTCTTCTGTGTGATAGCAGAGCACAGGCTTCATCAAATGTCTCATTATCCTTTGTCTGGTTGATGTGTGCTGATATTTCTTCTTCTAGTTATCAAAACAAAGTAAATGCTGGTGATAACCACCTGGGATCTTCGCTAGTTTTGTTTCTTGTGGAATACACAGGTCTGGAAAGACCTGGGTCTTATCTATAGGATTACCCTCTCAAATACTTGTCCCAAGAATGAGTCTGTTGCTCCACGATTCATAGAGTAACTGAAAGATCTTCACTTTTTCTACTAGCCCAGAGGGCCATCCACTCCCAACCACAGATTGCTTCTCTTTATCATTTTGTGTCTCTTTCTCCTCTTTTCAGAATATGCTGAGTTTTTGCACCTCAAGTCCAAAAAGTTTACAGACTTTGATGAAGTCCGACAAGAGATTGAAAATGAGACTGAAAGGGTCACGGGGTCCAACAAAGGCATCTCCCCAGTGCCCATCAACCTGCGTGTCTACTCACCACATGGTAGGCCACACAAGGGCAGAGGAAAGCAGATTCTGTGCTCTGCATGGTCATCCCAGTCTCTCTGAGAATATGTCCCCTCCAATTTTTATTCATACGTGCATAGCCCTTTTGATCTGTGTCTTCCCACTTTTAATAGGAATGTGGTACCAAAAAATGTATCTCAATCTGAGAAAAGCACAACATGCCAGGAAGATCATAGGAAGTAGTGGGAACTGGGCGAATTGCTAGTATATGCTTCTTAAAAAGCAGGTAACTCTATGGTGATAGCACACAGATGATTTGGTGATGGGAAGCCCACAGGGATTACAAATGAGATTGAAAAAGGCGCAAACAGATGTAAAAATAAATTATTATGTTATTAAAAACAGACAAACAAAAAAAGAAAACCGGGCAGCTGTTGGGCTCCCAGGTGATCATGGACAGGTGACCACTGTGACACCAGCCCAAAGCAGCCAACCAGGTCCAGTTCTAACTGGTTCCTCCAGTTCCTTGAGAGGAACCAGAAAACCAACTTCTCTGCAAAATGTCCTGAATTTAAAACTGCATCATTTAAACAGAAGAGCCATGGATTGCTAACTCAGGTGACATTTGGGGACTATTCCAGCTTATGTCCTCAGTATGGGTTGTTGTATTGAATTTTAAAATTTATTTGAAAATATGAAAGCTACATGTGGGTAATATTTTAAAAAATTGCAAAGAGACAAAAAAAACTGATTCTACACTCTTATTGCAAATATATTTCACATTCCTTTAATGATAAGCGATATGTGTAAATATAAGTATGTACATGTTGTATCACTTTCAGATGGTAGCAATTATTTGAATGTTTCTTATCAGAGTTTCATCTTTTTTTTAATATATATATATATATTTTTTTAAAGCTTTATTTATTCATATAGAACTGGGGTACAGGCCAGAGATGTGGAGGGTGAGAGGATTCACCAGAGATAGAGCGGGGAGCAGAACAGGCAGATAGAGGAAGTATATTGCTGAGGGGAGCAGCGGGTGGGTCAGGAGAGGTCTGCAGCACCATGTGGATCTCCTCCGGGGCAGGCGGGAATCGAACTCATGCAGAAATGGCTTAAGCTTCTTAGTGCTGTGCTTTAACCCGCTGCGCCACCAGAGAGGGCCCCATCTTTTGTTTTTAATGGTTGCTTGGTATTTGCTGAATCATTGAGTTAAGGTTTATTTAACTATTTAAAATGATACCAGTCTGCAAGTGCAAATATCACTGAAATGAGTGGATAAAGGATGATATAGAATAGGGATCCTAGAAAGGGAGTTAATGGATCAAAAGTTGTGGCCCCCCTAGTGGTGCAGAGGTTAGTCTCAGCTCTGTCAAGCTGTAGCCCCAGAACTGCAGGCTGAGCTTGATCCCAGCCAGGGAGGTGACCCACATGGCATAGCAGACCTCTCCTATTTTGCCCGCTGCTCCCCTCAGCAGTGTATTTCAGTCAATACACCTGTTCTGTTCCCTACTGTCTCTGGTGAATCCTCTCAAGCCTTGCACTTCTGGCCTGTATCCCAATTCTTGTATTCTTAAATAAATAAAATGAATATTTAAAAAAAAAAAAAGGTGTGACCCTGGGGAGCAAAAAAAAAATCCCAAGACCTAACTCCCCAGTACTTGGGGAAGTGAGCTGGGCTGCTGCAGGGCTTGCATACCTCACCTCCCCGGGTTTTCTTCTGATTTCCTTCCTAGTGCTGAACCTGACCCTCATTGACCTCCCGGGCATAACTAAGGTGCCTGTGGGGGACCAGCCCCCAGACATTGAGTACCAGATCAAGGAAATGATCCTGCAGTTCATCAGCCGGGAGACCACCCTCATCCTCGCCGTTACTCCTGCCAACATGGACCTGGCCAACTCCGATGCCCTCAAGCTAGCCAAGGAGGTCGACCCCCAAGGTAACCACTGAACCTTACAGCAGGCATTTCCTTCTTCCCTGTGCCTCAGTATAGTGGCTTTCCTAGTAACTTTGATTCCAAGTCACTTGTGTTCTCTTTGGCATGTGACTGTTTGGAAAAGACCACTCAGGACACACAGATTCCTAACAAAGCCAGTAATACAGATGGGTATTGACCCTGAAGGGCATTGAATGGCAGGTGAGTGAACGTTTCTCCTTGGACATCATGGCCTCCACTTTGCCTGTGCAGAAAGCTAAATTAGGGGATGTGATTTAGGTTTCTGGGGCCCCGATAGGGGTTCATATCTCACCTCTAGAGTTGCTTACCTTTTCTGAGGCTTGATACCTATCTGTCAAAATGGGAGTGACATTTCCGACCTATAGAATGGTTGAGTATGCTGGAGATGTCTCTAACTGCCAGGCAATGAAGGTTAAAAAAAAGGGTGATGAGTTAATTAAGTAAGTTGGGGGCAATCGGTAATAGTGGAAGCTGTGGCACCCCTGGCTCACGGCATCCAAGGGCAAACTTTTCCAGTGAAATGCATTCTGTGAATGTCAGTTGAGTATCTACTGCATGCTTGGTGTGGTTTTGGCCATGGGAACCATGCATGTCTCAAATAGAGAGGGGTCCTAACACTGGAGAGCTGGTATTCCTGTGGGGGAAATAAGCAAGTAGGATCATTTCAGGGAATGGTAAGCACTGGGAAGATGATAGAATTCTTTGAAGGTGACTGGGGTGAGAAAGGAGGTCTGCGGCTTCGAAGATGTAAAGTGTTTTTGCAAGACCAGAATGACAAAAAGAGGCAAAATATAGCAAGATGGACCCTGGATGTTAAAATAGCCCATAGCCTGTGTAAAATGGAACGAGCTGAAGGGAAGGCAGAAGAACTGAGGGCTGAAGGTGGGGGCTGGGTGATCCCAGGGCCAACTGAACAGGACCTTGTGGATTACTGGGGACCAGGTTATATTTTGAGGGTTTGGGTTTTAGCAGAGTGTGCCACACTAAAGTGCATTTGCAGCTCCCCTTGACTGCCTTGATTTGATAGTGATTTGGAGGGCGCCAGACACAGAGAGGAGCTGGATGAGACAGACTCTACAGCTCATGCTCCCTGGGTTTTTAAAGGCCTCTCCCTGCATCATGATTACCTAAAATATATCACCATTGTAAAATATTTCTACAAACCTGGAAAGTGACATCTCCCCTTCCCCTCCAGACATAACTGGTGGTGGTCACATGTGGCAAATGTTCTTTTAAGTTTGTTCTTCCATGTAAACTCACCTTTTTGAAAATGGAATGATCTTATTTTCCTGAACATGTGTGTGATTTTCTATTTGTGCACACACATTGCTATCCAGCCCATTGGGTATTTGATTATTTCTGGTTTTCCGTAAGCAATGCTCTTGTGACAGCTAACCCTCCCAATAGAGTTGATGCCGCCAGGAACCCTCCCCATCACTTCCGTGCTCTGCCTTTGCCCTCCAAAATGGTGCCAGTTCACACTTTCACAGTAGACATGGATAGGCACGGCCCGCAGGAAGTCCTACTGACACCTTAGTACCTGCTAGGATCTTCCTGTGCTCCCATTTTTCTCCTTTCTTTCACTCACACACACACACACACTCACACAAACCGTTCACACCTCAGAGGCAGCCCCTGGATAGCCATGGCTGAGGAAAGAAGGAATTCTATGAATTCTGTGGGGTGGCTCCAGGGTGGAGCCTTAGCCATTTAGGTGAAAGGTAACACTAGAAACGGGTGCTGAGGATTCCATGCACGAATCTCAGAATACAAAACATCAATTTTTCATGAGGTTTTCCCCCTGCTACTGCTACACCAAGATGCTACTGCTGAATACTAGTGGCGATGATGGTGCTGAGTGAGCATTTGTCATGAGCCTGTTCATCCCCCTGGACAGCCCCTGTGATAAGTGCTGTTCTGGTTTTCATCTTACTGTAGGGAAACTAGGGTCAAGCAGGTAATGTGGGACTTGTTCCAGGTCACGAAGCCTAGAAAGTGGGTGGTCCAATTGGACCCCAGCTGGCCTGGCACCACCGGCTCCGGCTCCTTCCTCATGGTACCCTCTGACCTCTGGACTCTTCCAGGCCTGCGGACCATTGGCGTTATCACCAAGCTCGACCTGATGGATGAAGGCACTGATGCCAGGGACGTCCTGGAGAATAAGTTGCTTCCTTTGAGAAGAGGTGTGGCTGGTGGGGGTCATGGGATGGGGTGGGAGTAAGGGTGATGGGTGGGTGTGATTGAGCAGCAGGAGGGCTGGTGCTCTCTACTTTCAAAAATGATGTTTGTTTTGTTGTCATGGAAACCTGGGCACATATCAGGAGGTTTACTAAATCCGGGCACCTCACATATTTCCTTGCCCACATCTGAATCACTGCTTTTCAGATTCCTTGTAAACCCTTTTTTTTGGAGTGTGAACATTAGGGTCTTTTTTCTATTTGTATACATTTCAGTTTCACATAAACACCTCATTTGTGGATCTTTCACAAAACTAAATCTGTAGAAAAAATATGTAAAATCAATCGCTCACAGCTTGACTTCCCCCAGTTAGCTCCTACTTAACACTTTATGACTCTCCTGAAAAGTTCAGGATTTGTAGCTTTGTATTGTAATATACTTGAAAGTAGGGAGAAGTACGAGGAGGGCCCATCCTGGACCCAGCCTCAGCGGTTAGCAGTGTGCAGCAAATCTCTGTCCCCGCTTACGTCCACTGTACCTGATATTTTCTTCCTAGGGAATGATAATGTAAATGCTAGGCCTCAGGCTTTACACACAGGAATGACTAAATTTTTTTTCAAAACATTTCTTTCCCAGCCTCTTTGTTTTTTCTGTACCACTATTTGTAGAAGAGATCAGAGTGTATCCCACGGGTGGGATTTGACGACTCATCAGTCCCTGAAAACTGTAACTGAGGCCTGACTGGGTTCAGAGCTTCTGACAGGAATAGCCTGAGTAATTTTATTTTTAAAAAACGAGGCTTGTTGGCCCTCCCTGGTGGCGCAGCGGGTTAAAGCACTGCACTGAGAATCTAAAGCCGCTTCTGCATGAGTTCGATTTCCGCCTGCCCCGGAGGTGACCACATGGCGTGGCAGACCTCTCCTGACCCGCCCGCTGCTCCCCTCA